TAATAAAAATTGTAAAGGTAAGCCATATAAATTTCTTAATTAAGGCTAATTATCGTGTCGTTATCTATCATACATTTTGCTTACATAACATTGAAAAAAAAACCATTTTAAATAGGTATTCGACACGTAGTCTGTAATTGCGTAAACAATTTTATTGATAAAAGCTAATCCAGTGTCCATTAAGTATTGCCATGGAAATAAATTTAATTGCTATCAAAGTTAGAAGAACACCTTTTCTGTCTAGGTAGGTACCACCCTCTTGCCTTTTTTATTTATTTTTTTATAAAATAAGGGTGACAAGTACACATACCTGATGGTAAGGAATGATCTCATAGACATCTACATCTATCCTCGATTAAGAACCTAAAGAGACAAAGATGGAACGCCTCGTCTCCGGTTCTTTACCTAATTCTGTTGGCAAATAGTAGTGAGCAGATAGTAGTAGAGCCAGTATAAAACATTAAAAACAGCAACAAGACATTCCATCTAAGTTTTCAGAGGTGACAATGCATCTTGCACCCTTCTTTATTGTATCAACTTACCATCGGGTGGTCTTCGTGTCACTTCAGTTTTATAAATATTTTTTTATATACCAAACTTTATAGTACTTCTAAAATGTTTTAATTTACTGGTAGGTATATTTTGTAATAAATTGTTACTACTAACTTTTATTATAGTAAAACCTACTATGAAATCATTTTGCGGAAGATATCTGAAAAGTATTATACATAATTATTATTAGTATTACATAAATCTACACACAGTTAGTTTCAAATAAATAGAATACACTAATTGTGAATATATGTAGGTATATGAGCATAATATGTATAATATTATGTGAATCAAAATTTAAAATGTCAAGTGTCATATAAACTAGATTTCATTGTGGTAAATTGGTAATACGAATATATTCTGCGAGAGTAATATTGATAATATTTCAATTATATAAATTTTTCGTAATATTATAATATTTTGCTTGCTTAAAACGCATTCTGAAGTAGTGTCATTTACTGAGTCCGTTGAAGCTGTAAGAGCCAAAAGTCTAACAGCACTAACATCATCAGACACCAGAAAGAAACCATCATTTATTACTTACTAGCTTTGCCTGGATAGGATCTATTAACGTGGCGGTATTTAGATATAAGATAATCAAACACCATTTATATAATCCATTATTCGTTTTTTTAAACTTCAGTTTTCTTTTTAATTTTATTTATTTTTCGTTTTATGAAAGAAAAAGATTTCTTTAGATTTTGGAGACCCTTTTTACTGGCAAAGAAGCATTCCATCTTAGTCCTCACGGGTGACAACGCATCTGCATCTTGAGTCTTTATTGAGGATAGATGTAGATGTTTATGGGTCACAGTAACCACTTACCATCAGGTGGACTGTGTGCTCGTTTGTCACCCGATCCTATAAAAAAAAAGATTACTAGAAGTTTTATTACAATCGGTTCAGCCATTTTGAATTTTAGCCCTGCCAAATAGTTATTTTTTTTTTCAAATAGTTATTTGTCTTAATGGCATGCACATAATCTTCTCATTTCAATAAAAGGCGGTTAATACGATATTACAGACTGACACTTCAATTTCATTTATATGAATATAGATCACCGCCGTTTGGTTTCTTCACTTTTTAATTATAGTGTACTGAATGTGGTTCTGATTATCTATAATTATTATACGCATATTTTTTATTATAAAAACAGTTGGTATATCCAAGTGTGCATGGCCTAAGCGCTTTTTTAAAGTAGTTTAAATACACACAAGTTGTCACTAATAACCTTATTATTATACTTCCAATTTTCTAATAATTTTATGTCAAACTTCAATTTTAAAAAAAGTTCGAAAAATCCAAAACTGCACGACTCATAATGCTCATATGATCTTGATATGATCAGACTTGATAAATCTACGCCATAAGCCACTAAAAGCACCTTTTTATTTAAAAATAGCAATTAATCGATTTAAAAAAAAATAAGTTCAACAACCATTTATCTCTCTGACAATGTGCTTTTTATATCTTTTATATGTTCAATATGATTGTTAGATACGATTTTATGCGACAAAACGTTGTAATCTTGATTTTTAGGCCCTAGTAGAACATACCTACACGCTTTGCGCTTAAGGCATGCAATATGTAACTTTATGATAATGTTTCCATTATTGTTCATATCCCAGTATTTTGGTTATCAATTAATTCGATATACGCACACGTAATAAGGTACGTGAAGATATTGTATTGCATTATTGAAGATAAATCAGTGTCCTTCGCCAAATGAAACAGTTTATCTAAAGGTGCTGGCTTAATAACTTGTGGTGAGTTTTATTGTGCCATATAATTTCGTAATCTATAAATTTCTTGTCGTAGTTATGCTGTTGTCCGATTTCTTATCATGTTGTTCTTATTATACAGTTCTTTATTTCATATTGTATTATACACAAGACTTGCTACGACCGTTTCCAATTGAAATTACATACTGGCCCAATTTAAATTGTACTTATATTTATAAACAAAAATATTTATATAGTAAATTTTTTAAATAATGTGATGACAAGTATTAATGCCTATATTATATAATGCTGATATACTTATATGTGTATTATAAATTATATAGGTATACAATCTAAATTATTTTTTATTTAAGTTTTCGTTTTTAATATAAGCATTAATATTTGTAATCACTATTTATTTTTTTACTATTACATATTTGTTACTATTTACAACTACCTGCACTTCTCGTTAAAGCAGTAAATGTCATTCGTTTTTGATTTAATTTATTTTCCGTTTATTTGAAGTACCTGTTATTTTTTTTTCAAGAAACAACTTATCTAATTAGGTATTTCAAAAGTTCTAAACTAAAACAAGTTGGTAAAATCTTGTGGCGTCGAACTATAAAATTAATTTCATCCGATTAAGCACGGGTGCCGAAGGGTATGTATGTGGTCTATGGTGCTAAAGCCTTTTCGGAAACGGGCTTGTTCGGGAGCCTGGAAGTCGTCAAGACTGCGCGCGAGACGATTCGTAATGACTCTCGAAAACAGCACGTAGACGCGGCTCAGAAGGGCAATCAGTCTGTAGTTCTTCAAGAGAGCGTTGTCAAGTTCGAGGAGTACAATTTGCCACTTTGTCTGGCGTATGTGGACTATGAGAAACCCTTTGATTTCGTCGAAATTTGGGTGGTGCTGCAGTTCCTTCAGCGATGCCAAGTTGACTTTCGGTATATCGCAGTGCTGAAGTGCTTGCACAGTAAGGCTACGATGGCTATCCGAGTAGGGCTGCAGAGAGGTGTAAGACAGGGTGACGTTATATCCCCGAAACTCTTCACCGCTGTATTGGAAGATGTTTTCAAGCTTCTGGACTGGAAAGGATAAGGCATTAACATCAATGGCGAGTTCATCATTCACCTTCGATTTGCCGACGATATAGTCCTTATGGCAGAATCGCTGGAGGACCTAAGCACTATGCTCAATGACCTCAATAGAGTTACCCAACGGATAGGTCTTAAGATGAACATGGACAAAACAAAGATCATGTTTAATGTCCATGTCACACATATGCCGGTAGTTGTTGGGAGCACTAAGCTCGAAGTTGTTGACGAGTATGTTTACCGAGGACAAATAGTCCGACTAGGTCAATCTGACCGAGAGGTCAATCGACGAATTCAACTCGGTTGGGCAGCATTCGGGAAATTACGGCACATCTTCTCGTCAGGTATACCTCAAAACTTGAAAACGAGACTGTACAACCAGTGCGTGTTGCCAGTGATGACACATCGTGACGACACGTCGCTGCAGTCATGATTCCGAACCCGACTGCTCGAGCGTTGGCGGCACTACTGGTCTGCGGTCGGGCGACATGTCGTCTGCCGCTCTGGCAAACGACGTGTCGCTAGCTACGGAAGGTATTTCATAGAACTACATAGAAATCAGTAGTGTAGCGACGACACGTCGCCTGCTGTTGCTGTCTGCGGTCAGCTACGGAATTGTACCTTAAGAGAGCTCCATCTCTGGTGCGCAGGGTTAGGGCCAGCCCGGACGGCATTCTAAAAATAATAGTGGTCAGTAACGGTGTTTGCCCAGCAACTAATTGACTGCTGGACATATGCATTATATAACATTAAGTAACAGTTAATAATATTAATGCATGAATCCAATGTTAAGATAATAATAGAGTAGTTAATTAAATTTTTATAATAATTATAATTCTAGAAAAGTTAACATAATGATGAGTCCTAAATACTTGAAATTAAATAAATAATAAAATAATTATTAAAATATGCAGAGGAAATGTTTGTTGGCCGTAGGTAATTAATTGGAATAAGTCAATTCCATTCTTATTTTTAATCGTATTATATAACGCAAATTTTGTACGTTTTCTCTTTAATAAATATATACATATTACAATACATTACAATAATTTATACACCGTATTATCGGATTAGCTTTTTATTTAGGCTAATTATTAATTTGTTATCTATTGAGTAGCACCTGCGCGGAAATTAATTCATCAAAAATATCGGTATTGAATATTCTTGAATTAAGAGTTATACCTAATTTGTAACAAGTAAATTTTCTAACAGTTTCAATTAAAATAAACAATCTAATATGAATTAATGAAGCAATAACATTGTTAAATACGTAACCGTAATATAAATTAATTATTTTAAAAATATTTTTATTGATTAACTCAAAAATGTTAGCAAACTTTGAAGAAAACAGTACATGTTATGTTAATGGATAGGTACTTTATATAAAATCGCGTGGGTTTCTATTGTATAAGAAATGCAATTATAACAATTAGAATCATTCATTTTGCTAACAATCATTGATTTTAAATTATCGACCTTCTTATCATCAAGTTTCCGGCCTTCATACACTGACACATTTAATTTAATTATCATTAGCATGTAGTTGTGTTAAAACAATTAATGTTTCGTTTGTTAAATTTATCAACGCACGGTACGAGTATATTTTTTTTCTTTTCGCACTGTAAAGAACATGGCGGAGGATCAATCTGCTGGAATTGGCGCGCAAATTGGCAGCGCTATCAAAAATAAACTGGCGGATTCCATAAGAAATATGGATGTATTAAGTATAATACAAAATATCGTGGCCACTACACCAGAGGATGAGGAATCCGAAGAAATTAGAGAGAAGCTGCAGGGCGTGCTGAGGCAGTATAATGAAATGCCGGAAAACGAGAAGGTTCAATTTGCAAACCAATTAAAGGAGGCTCTAGCGACGAAATTACAAAGAAAATTACAGGACACGCCTATAAATTTAACCGGTTTGGATGAAGCTATAAGTCAGGCTATTATGTTCAAACTTTATCTAGTCGGTGCCGGCGTGTTACTTTTAATAATGGTTATCGGTATGTTTTTCTTACGTTTTTACATATCTATATACACTAATATTTACGCTAATCATGCTTTTTTAAGTTTATTTATTTATTACCAACAAGTAACATAAATGTCTTATGATAAACCAAAAACATTGATCTCACCATACCACCTCGATATATTGTTACACAGACTTCTGTGTATACTTCTGTAGTAGTATTACTAATACAGTGTACATTAGTCAGTCTTTTCGTTACAATGTTTAAGTAAAGAGCTACTACAAATTCATATTTATATGAAGTAAACAGAAATACATTTCGAGTTAGAACATTATTGCTACGGAAAAGTTAATGTACCCTCCGTACTAGCTTGCACTGTATTAGACGTAGTCATCTTCCTCAAACGCCACAACAATCACTGCACTCCATAATTTATAGTGTAAGCAAAATCATGCGACACTTCATTTTATACAAATTTGAAATGAATGTTTTAACGAAAAAAAAAAATAAAAGTATTATTTTAATTAACTTAAGTATTATGGATATGTTAGTGCACCTAATATATATCTATAATATAAAAATGATTCGCTGAATGTGTTGCTAAGCTCAAATCTCGAGAGCAGCTGAACCGATTTCGCTAATTATTTTTTTATAATATTCCTTGAAGTACGAAGATGGTTCTAACGGAGAGAAAAATTTTAAAAATTGCCTGAAAAAGTCTAAAGACAACACTTCTATATTCCCATACAAAAGGTTCGTAATAGTACTTAAAGTCAATTTGAACTTTAATACCATATTATATATTATAAAGTTTAAGTGTTAGTGGAGGGGTTCCGGGAAGGCAAAACAATTGAGTGACGTCAGTATCGTATAAATATTAATGTCAATATTTGTGTAGGTATTATAATAAGAAATCAGAAATTGTAATTTTCATTGTGATTTTTAGTGACTATTAAAATTAATTTTAAGTGTTTTATAATTTTTATTTTTTGATTTAATGTAATTGTTGACTTATCAACTTTCTTTTTTCTTTTTTTTTATCTTACTAGCTGACCCGGTGTCCCGAATAGAAGAAAAAGTATTAAAAAAAATTAAAGAATCGACTGTCAGGCGGTACGAAGTTCGCCGGGTCAGCTAGTGATATATAAATGTAGAGCCATGGTGGTCTGAGTTATATAGGGTGATATCGTTTTTAATGTGTACACCTACGCAATCATCCCTATTTGGATCCCTGTTATTATTAAGACATATCAAGACCCGCAACCCGTCTTGTTGACTATATTTTGATGCTTTAGGAGGGGGGGGGGGGGGGGAGGCAATCCGGGTGCCAGCTTAACTTCACAACTTAATTGATATGAATGATAACCAAACCAACTTTATATGATAGGTAGTAACTTTTACAACTTATCTCGTCAGAGTGAGTATGAGTATTCACATTCAACATATCGTTTTGTCACTTGTCGTATCCCTCACTTACTAATGTACTTACTACGAGAGAGACGCACTGAGCAACAAGCGAGAAACGGTAACTCGTAGTAGGTCTTCTGTATTATACTATGCTTTTTAAAAGCAAATTATAAGAATAAAAGCCATTCGGCAAGCGATTTGGAGGTAGATTTCTTCTTATTTATTTTCTGACTATCAAATAAAAATTAGTTAAAAGCTTAAATGTTTTGGACATTTTTCATGGATTTTAAAGTCAGAAATGGTACGACTTTCCATTGACGTCCGTCGAGTTGGGGGTAGATATTTTTTTTAAAAGAAATTTTACATTATTATCAGCACACACGCAAAGTTGCAACATTTGGAGACTCGTACTTTTTGAGAAAAAAATATTGAAAATCAACTATTTTTGCAATATTTGTCAGTTGCTACCGTAAAACTGACGCTATTTTGTATTATCGTTGTCAGTAAATGGATTTATATTTACATTATAAATGCAAACATGAAAAAATATAGATATTTTAGAAATCGATTTTTTGTGAATCGATACATCAGCTTACGATTCGAATCGATTTGAAATCGATCTTTTTCGGAAAGAATTGACATCCCTACTGAAGATGACAGTGACAATACAAAATAGCGTCAGTTTTACGGTAGGAATTGACATAAATATTGCAAAAATAATTGATTTTCAATAATTTTTCTCAAAAAGTATGCGTTTCCTCATGTTGAAACTTTGCCTGTGTGCTTATAATAATGTATCCTTTCTGTAAAAAATATCAAACTCCAACTCGACGGACGTCAATGGAAAGCTAAGCCTCAGAAATCACTGCAAAGAAATTTTCAAAAGGGCAAGTAAAGAAACAAAAATACGAGGCAATTAGATGAGGTTTAAAATACCTTCAATGACAAATCACTATAAATTTAAGTAAATTCTCTTAATTTACAGAAGCAATTTATTAAAGAGATTAGTTTCTAATAATGTTTTAAATTCTAATAAAACGTTTAGAATTTTAGTTGTATTCTTAATTCAATTAACTCGTAACTCAATTCTTATAAGTAACATTTAAAAAATAATTAATCTTAGTGTATTGGTTCTGAGGGGTCCCTTCTAAATATTACTATACTCTTAGGTGGGATCTACAAATTTGGCATGTTGCAATGTGTTTCTCTGGAACTTGACAGATAAAGCCATTTTATTTAGGTACAGGGAAGTCCCAACAAATACTTTTCTGAAGTGAGTAGTTTCTTACATTTATTTATTTTCATTCCATTTTACATATCTACCTAAATATTGGCTGGCATGATTATTTTTTTATTACATACTTAATGTTTACTTCAATAAATGTGAAATTGGATTTTGAAATACATCTACCATAAAGACCTTTTACAAATAAAGATTCACATATATCTAACCTGTAATTTAGTTTTAGAACGCAAATCATGGCGAAAAGTGCTTAAAGTACCAATCATTGTACAGCTTACCCTACATTGTTGAGATATTGGATGTATAAAATATGTAATTATTAATAATAATCTTTATATATAAAAATTACGTGTCACATTGTTTGTCCGCGATGTAAAGTTTTATCAAAATAAGTTTAATAATTTTTGCGTCATCTAACATAATATGTACCTTACTTTCACGTCTTTAACATTAAGGTGAAAGCTCCAGGGTGGCCCGCGATATTCAAATTTTCTTGCGTTTCTTGGAATTTGCAGGTCAGGGTCAGGTTACTGGAAATGAGGCATTCCATCTTAGTCCTCACGGGTGACAACGCATCTGCATTTTGATTCGCAAACGAGGATAGATGTAGATGTCTATGGACCGCAGCAACCACTTACCATCAGGTGGACTGTGTGCTCGTTTGTCACCCTTATCCTATAAAAAAAAAACAAAAAAAAAAGTTGGATGTTTAATAAAATATGATTCGCGACCGTAACGAGTATGTGTTTATAGAATTATTATCATTAAAATCACCAATACATCCCTCTAAGTTCATATAATCCCTTTGAATTGAGTTTTTCTGGAAATAGCCATACAGTGGAATTATACAAACATAGATGGTTGTATTGATGATTATAATCCTGTAAATACCATACTCGTTACGGTCGCGAATCATATTTTGTTAAACATACAACCTGACACTGACCTGCAAATTGCAAAAAACGTAAGAAAATTTTAATTTCGCGGTCTACCCTGGCGCTTCCACCTTAATAGGATATAAAAGGGCGTCAAAGGAATCAGTCGCTCGGGGCGCCTAGATAGGGCCAGCCCAATCCATTTTTATTCCACAGTTGAGATAAAGTTACTTTACTATTTCTCCTCTCCATACCTAAACGCCACGCTTAGCAAGTGTTTTGGCGAAAGCTGCAAAAGACATCTACTTTTAACGCTGCATCCTATCGTCGAACTAAGCACATTCTTCTATTAAGAATCAAAATTCAGATGCGTTGTCACCCCTGAGGACTACGATGGAATGTCTCGTTACCAGTAAAAAGGGTATCCGGTTCTCTACACTCACCAAACGTAGCGCAGCATTATTCTGCTGTTTACCGCTGGTATTGTGTTACCGTTTTTACTGATAAGAAGGCACTCCATCTTAGTCCTCAAATAACCCCGATAACGCATCTGCATTTTGTTTCTTGATCGAGGATAAATATAGTCTATGGGCCGCAGCATCCACTTAAGAATTTTTACGTGGTAGAGCCATGCTTCAGTTATATTATTATGGTTGTAGCACGAATGGGTCGGTTCGACCGGGGTAGGACCACGCTTTTACAGAATACCAGCGTAAAATAGCAGCTTTATGCTGCTGTTTGTTATAGTGAGTGTAGAGAGCCGTAGACCCTTTTTACTGGAAATGAAGCATTCCATCTTAGTCCCCAAGTTTGACAAAATGCCATAAACATCCAAATCGAGACTTACCGTCCGATGGACTGTGTGCTTGTTTGTCACCCTCATATAAAAAATAATATTTAAGCTTTTAGAAAAGTTCTAGCTACAACATTACATTTTATTATCTTGACAACAGAGTCATTGAAGGCTTCTCCAACTGTCGCCGAATCATTACTTAAACAGAATGTTAATACCTGTTTAAAAGAATTTAGATTTGAAAAAGTATTACCGCATAATATTGTAAAATACTTCAAAACCATTGATGTAAAGAAAACCGCAGATTTGTGGGGGATTTCCGTTACAGTGATTGCGTCCATAATAGATTTAATTGCACCTCATCTTGCTATTATTTTTAATACTTGTATCGATTCTGGTGTGTTTCCTGATTTAATGAAGTATAGTAAAGTAATACCTTTATTTAAATCTGGTAGTACATTGGACCCCGCTAATTATAGACCTATTTCTGTACTACCAACTCTCAGTAAAATTTTTGAAAAAATAATTTTGGATCAATTGTTAATTTTTTTTAATACAAATAAATTACTTCATAAAAATCAATTTGGTTTTACAAGGGGTCGCTCGACGTCTGACGCCGGTGTTGAGCTTATGAAATATATTTTTAATGCCTGGGAGAATTCACAAGATGCCTTAGGTATTTTCTGTGACCTTTCCAAGGCTTTCGATTGTGTTCATCATGATACATTAATCAGGAAACTACAACATTACGGTGTAAAAAATTTGGCGCTTAAACTTATTACTTCATATTTAAGTAACAGAACTCAAAAAGTCGTCATTAATGGTAAATGTTCCTCCGGATCGGTAGTATCAATGGGCGTTCCTCAGGGCTCGATTCTTGGCCCATTCCTGTTCTTAATCTATATTAACGACTTACCTTATCTTGTAGGGGACAATCACGATATAGTATTATTTGCTGACGATACCTCTTTAATTTTCAAACTGAAACGGCAGTCAATTAAATATGACGATGTAAATAATGCTTTATCGAAACTAGTACATTGGTTTAACGCCAACAATTTGCTCTTAAACGGCAATAAGACAAAATGTATTAAATTTACAATACCTAATGTAAAACATTCGAAAACCAATGTGCTCTTAAATGGGGAGGAGTTGAGTCTTGTGGATACCACTGTTTTTCTCGGTATTACTATTGACGCGAAACTTCAATGGGGCCCCCATATATCTAAATTAGCAAGCAGACTTAGTTCTGCAGCATATGCTGTAAGAAAGATTAGAAGTCTCACAGATGTTGAGACAGCTAGGTTAGTGTATTTTAGTTACTTTCATAGCGTAATGTCTTATGGAATTTTGCTATGGGGTAATGCGACTGATATTGAAGCTATATTTGTTTTGCAAAAGAGAGCCGTACGGGCGATTTATAATCTAAATTGTAAAGAGTCCCTTAGAGAAAAATTTAAAGAAATAAACATATTAACTTTGGCATCGCAATATATTTATGAAAATGTAATGTATGTACATAAAAACATAAATAGCTTTAATAAGAATAAGGATGTTCATACCTTAAACACTAGGAACAAACATAAGCTTGTAATGCCACTTACAAGACTCCACAGAATTAGTAATTCATTTATGGGGCAATGTATACGCTTTTACAACAGAATCCCAGAACATGTTCAAAGTTTGTCAATAAACAAGTTTAAAAGTTTTATTAAAGAAAAACTGTACAAAAAGGGTTATTATAATATCAAGGAATACATGAATCAAAATAACCCCTGGGAATAAGGTGATCGCCACCATGCTGGTTCTATGAAAATTCATTTAAAATTGTATAAACAAAATTATTGTTAAGTGAAATTATGTTTAAAAAAAAGTCCCGCTGGGTTTCTTGCTGGTTCTTCCCAGGACAGAGGTATTTTCCGAACCAGTGGTAAATAAAATAATGACTTTCAATAAGTATTATGTAATAATCCATATTGAATAAAAATCATTCTATTCTATTCTATTATATTTTAATTAAGATACATACGAGTATGCGTACCCAACATTATACTTTATATTTTGAATATGATTTTGCCGAAACTTTAAAACAATATCTTGTGAGGTTTAAGAATGTCTAGATATCTGCTCTGGTACAGTAGAACGCCGATTATCCGAATTAATTGGGACCGGGGTCGATTCGGATAATCGGACATAGTATGTAATATAGAAAAACGAACTGTCACACATAGAATAAACTTTATTAAGTTAAGTTAAGTTAAGTAATAAATGGTTTTACACTTTATAAAGTTTTATAAAGTGTAAAACCAGCTACACCCATTTTTTCACTGAACATTCGCGCCTTTTCACATAAAATCAATCCTGAAATCGGTTTTCAAATAGATCGTTGCTGCAGAAACCACGTAAAAACAGCATTCTCAAGCTGTTCATCCTTTGCCTTTTTCATTACTCCATCACCAGTTTCCAACGCAGTCACAAAACTTGAATTTTTTTCAGTTATTTTTAATATCAGTTAACCAAGAACTGTAAGTAAGTAACATTACTTACAGTACTTGGTTTTAATTTTTTATATTACGCTTAGGACCGATTCGGATAATTGGCGATTCGGTTAAACGATTCGTTGCGCCACAGAAGTTGATGACACACCTATTGTGCCATCAGCCATGTGTAAAAGTAATGTTCTTTTTTATACTTTTTTTCACTTGTTTAGACCTAATTAAGTTTATTTGACATCAAACATCAGTTACTAATGGAAGGATACTTGTTTTTAGTGGGTAACGACGTGTTTTTCTACGTGTTTTCTTTGAAATTGAGAGTGACTTTTTTTGTGCAGAGATTACAAACCTTATATACTATTTTTTTGTTATAAAAAATTATTTATATAAGTAGGTACAGCTAAATCACCCTGGAAAACCTTGGTCTTTATTAAATTAAATTTCCACCTAATAATAACATTTATAAATATGAAACAATCAAGATCCTCAATTTGGAAAAAAATAAAGTTTATGATTCATTGATATTTACAAATGTTAAATATTATTTAATGTTATACAAATGTAAAAGTAAAGTCGATCTGAGAACCTCTAATTAGTAAGAATAGCAAAACAAGTGTTTTCAAAAGGAAAAAAACGCCGGCGCTATACGGCGGCGGATTGACAAAAGACTATTTATTAGCGAACTTTTTTTATGCATGAACGGTTTCGAACTGTTTCAAGCAAAAATAAACCTTATACCATATCACAAGAGCACATGGTTAAAAAAAAGGTTGTCATCCTCTAAAAATTTCAAATTTTCAAAAATATCCAGAAACGAAGCCGCAGGCATGAACTACTTGCAAAATAATGAATATTTTAATGTGGATAAATTTTCCAAAACGCAATTTGAGCGAGTTATAACGATTTTTAAAAAGACACGACTCGTGTGTCATACGCCACACACAAAAGTAGTCGCCCGGTACGTAGTAGCACTGAACCGGTTAATCGGCGTTTTACTGTAGTTTATTATATTTAAACTTCATGCGTTTCTTTCAACTGGGACAAAATGATACAGAATAATACCGTCAACTGTCGAATGATTTTGATGATGGTCATGATGTTTAAAAAAAATTGGCACAGCAAAATTTCTTTTATGCGTGACTTTGTTTTTACCTATGTGATGTTTATGTTAATAAGCTTAGTTCAATTTAATGTTAGTGCTATTTATTTGAAAAAGTATGTGAACAATCTGAATAGCAGAAGCCGCTCGAAATAATTTTTGAAAACCCTAAACAGGCCGTGATTCTGTAAATGTGAAGTTTGACAGTTCAGAAGTAGGTTACACGAAATTGACTGTGTGATTCTTTTGCCGACGCACTTAGCTGTAGGTCGGGATATCTGAATTTGAATTCCAAACACAACACAACATACTACTTGGTTTAGATGTTTGTGACATGACCACTTTTTTGGTCAGATCTTATCTGGTGATAAAATATATGCGTCGCCCTGTGGCGTTTGTAAAAAATTTAACATGAAATAAAAAGTACCTATTATGAATATCCTAAAGCAGGATTGTGAATATTGTTCCTGTACCTTTGAAAGAGATCAGGGCTGTTGGGGCTCGTGCTTTACATGAGAGAAAACATATTGTTGGTTTCCTTATTGTTTGGTGTCCATCACACTGCATCAGATAGAAGTTAGGGCGAGAGAGGGCTAAATGTAAGACCTATAGTAAAATTCACTGCCGCGCATGGTCTGCTGCGGTTGCTTGAAGGATATGCTATAATCCCAAAGCTGGTCACCTTTGACGCTGCTTTTTGTAGCTGGTCTTGACATTTTGCGTCTGTCAATACCGTCATCTACCGGAAACCATGAAGAATTTTACATGTGCACGTGGTAGAGCCATGCTGCAGCTATATTATGGTTGTACCACAAATGGGTCGGCTCGACCGGGGTAGGACCACGCTCTTACATAATACCAGCGTAGCAGCGTAGAACAGTACTTTTCATTGACGTCAAGCCTCTATTTCACTTGTGACTTGTGGATGGGATCCGCGAAATCTGATTATTGTTCAATTTCTAATCCCTGTATTAGCGCGTTATCATATTGCTGTTTAATGGACTTGGCAGTACAAAGTTTTCTTATCCTAAATAAAAAGTTATTATCCGCACTATGAATTTATCCTGTATAGTGGTCTTAATCTTTCAGTTTTTTTTTTATAGAATAAGAGTGACAAACGAGCACGCAGTCCGTAAGTGGATGTTAAAAAACACGACAACGCATCTGCATTTAAATTTTTGATCAAGGGTAGATGGAGATTTCATAAGACACAGCAGCCACATTACTATCATGTGGTCGAGTGCTTTTTCTAAAAATGTGCGTCACTTTTATTCTCTTAACACAACCACGAAATGGGTGGATTAATTTTCTTAGCCACGGCGCTATAATTTATTTAGTTATAAATATCTTATGAGCAAACATGTCTGAATGCCGAAGTCGAAAAGGACAACGAAACTTTTTGTCTATAGAAAGAAACCAAGTATTTGCATGTTGACGTTGAATTCCCAGAGAGAGAATATCCTTGCTTGGGACTACATCAATGCAAAAAAGCAAATATCGAATATTATTTAATCTAATATTTTTTCTTTACAGTGTTCTTCGGATACAAACTCTATAAATCAATAAAGGATAAGGAGAAGAAGCGAGAGGAGAAAAAGAAAGCGAAACAGATGAAGAAAAAGAAATGACGGACTCTTTTGTAACACATTGACCAAGCGACGTTAGTTTAAAGATTGGATACGTTTTTGCCTGAAATATTATGCGTGCGTACAAGTTACCTGTATTAGAATATAGTTGTGAAATATATTTCCTGTTATCGAATATTTTAAAACGGCGGACCACAGCTGGACTCACTAAACAAAGTCTTGCATTCACTATCCAATAACTAATATAATTAAATTAATACATTTTATTTTGACAGCTTATAAAAAGTTGGATTGTTGGTTACGTGCACATTTTAACATCAAGATATAATAATAATTAAATAATCTCTATTAAAACTTATAAAGGTTACGAACCAATCATTTTTGCACTGATTCTTACTGTATCTTGGGATATCAGTACCTTCCCATACAATTTTACAATATTAAATTTTTATTTTTATTATATATTTAATTATTATAATATAATGAATATTATATAAATATTATATATATAATGAATATTATATATTAAATCTACATTAATTCATAACAATTGTATTTCCGACTGTGAAACAAATAGCCATTTTCCACTACTACAGCCACTTTCACAAAGTCGAACTAACACTTGTTTCAAGTCTACCTCTTCTCCTACTCTTGTAATAGCTGTGTACTGAGATACCGAGGAGCTGTCCCATGTTTTGTTACATCTGCAGTCACGCCTCTTTACGTTGCACATCCTCCGTAGCATTTTCACTATCGTGACGTTGAGCTCCTCTACATATTTTTGCTATCTAAGCTGATGCTTATCTAAGAGAACGAAAATAGGTAAAGATGATAGTTGATACAATTTAACAAGTTTTTTTTTATTTACGGTTTCAAAGGCTGACGACGACGATAATTGTCAGGGTTACCGATTACCATATATACAGCAACTCCTAGGTTCGATTCAAAACCAGAACAAAACAAAATATACACTATATGACAAATATATTCCGATATTATTCAGAAATTGGCATGTTTATATTTTGTTTGTTGTTTATAGTTATATGATTGTTTTGGGCGGTGTATTACCTAAATGGCAAATGTATATTCCTATGTTTTATTACTTATAATTTCAATATTGCCAACGTATATAATAATGATATGACGCATAATATTCCAGGCAGTACCTTATTAAACATATTATGACTGAATTTATAAATATTAATTAAAAATAAGTAACAAGCATCTGTCTATCAATGGATGTAAATTTTTAATTTACGTATCTATGTGCAATTTATTGTAATTTGTAACGAAATCATAAACAAAATGTTATTCATAAAAATTCTTTAAAATGCTTTGCTTTTCGTATAGTTCGTTTACGCTTATAAATCGTCTTGGATAGTTGTAATTTATTGTATGTGATCGTGGTTACACATTTTACATGTGAAATTTTAATTAATACATTTATGTATGAGAATTTACTTGCCAACAATCTAGTTATTTCAAAGTTAGTTTTATAAAAAAAAGTCAAAGCACAAACTTTTGAGGAGGCGTTATCTAAAATGAATATACCCATCATAAATAATGTAAATCAACGAAATAGTTATACACTTCGAATCCATTCAAGACTTATTTTTCTTTAGAACTGTCCTTAGTATAATTAAAATTAATATTTTTTTAAATACATTTTATTGATGTAAACAGGGAAAAACAAATAAGTACTGCTTATATTTTTTCATGTTATGTTTAAAGTGTTGCAATTACATTCCCTATATTTAGAAGTCGTTCTGTTTGAAATATATTTACGTTTTTAATCAAGGTCTTTCATTGAGTTTGCAGTTTATTGTGGGTTCTCCATATTACATTGCGAGTCGAGGGCAAGAGTCCCGCGTTATATCGAGTGACACATCCATAGCAATAAACCTATTCTACACGATTCTGCGTATATTTTGCAAACATGTTTTAATAACATCATCATCAATAAAGCCCATTGCTAATGTTGATCAATTCATCAATCAAATGTCTTGAGCCACCTACATCCATCGACTTCCTGAATGTTCCTAACAGATTGTCACTCCATTGTTTTAATAATCTCAGCGTAATGTAATTTTTTTTTTTCGAAATTATTTATTTCATTTTATTAAAATTGTGCCATGTATAATTCGCTAAGCAAGAATGAATACCTAATTTGATTATTTTTTTTGACATGTTTAAATTCTTTTATATCAACATTTTAAAAGGTTTTTTTGTGATGAATTTAGTGCTCTAAGTTTTCTTACCCCTTCGTTCGTTACTTCACGTATTCAGTATCCCTTTGTTTGTTTTGGAAACTAAATTTGTTGTTTATTTTGTGCTGATAAACAATAATAAATTTTTTTTAACTTACCAAGCACAGAATAGGACGGAGACAAGTTTAAAATAACAATACGAAAACACAAAACAAACTTCACACTAACAAAACCCTATTTGGGCATTGGCATCAAAGAGTATATAATCACTACTGTATGTGTGTATATATTTTTTACAAAAACAAAAATAGAACTTTAATCAGATAAAAAATTATTTATACTTTGTTTTTTTTTTAACATTAAAAAAATTTAAAAGTAATAATCGAAACAGACAATCAAATTTTGATTGGTCTTCAATCACTTACATTTAAATAATTATGTTTAAGAACCTACCCTACCTAACATTGTAGACAACTGCAAATCAAAGTTTATTTGTATAGATTTTCGGAAAGCTTTGCCTTTTAAAACAGCCCAGTATTGAGTTGATAATATTATAAAGAAAAAAATATGAAAAATAACCTTGTAACGCAGATCTCGAGTTTTATATACCTTATACTTAATTGGAGACTGTATAGAATATTAAATATACTACAAGATTTATATAAGGATTATTTCAATTGAAACACAATATCAGAAAGAATGTTTTTTATTTATCATTACAGCTATATTTACATCAATAAATATTCTTCCCGGATTTTATAGAAAAATAAATTCAGAATGAATATCTTTGGGAATTTTATAACCGCAAATGGGATAAGGCTGCCGCAAGGACCTGCGAGTAAATATATTGACTATTTGCAATGCACCAACGAATACATGTTTCTGCAACGCTTGAGTACAAGTTTAAAGAGTACATACATAAAGCAGTTTGCTTTTCAAAACCATACATCGAAAACCACCTTCATGTAATTTAAGGAATCTTTGTTTTAACATTAGTAAGTCTGGTATTATTTGGTAAACTATAAATCTATAGTTGATTTATTTACCAAGCTTATGGACAATATTAAAAACGCTAAACATCTTATATCAACAACATGAGTCCACTTTGAAAATAGGTCTAATATTAGATACCGCGATGGAAGATCGCACGCAATATATTATATTGAATAAGAATGTTGATATTAATGCATTTGCTATATTATGGATGCATGGACAATATAACAATTATATATAATTATAACAACCGTTATGTAGCTGCAGTAGTTTCCAAAAATACGTCATTATTTTTCTCATCGTCAGTGCGACACTTCAAAGACCAAAATGTGCCAAAATAAAAAACCTATGCAACAACATCGTTCTGATATTATTTATTTGGTGCAACATGTGAGCGACATTTGCAAAGTATTGTAGATGATTGAGAAAGTAAAGCTATATAATATAAATAACTAAAAAAAAAATGTCAGTAACGTAAAATCAAAGTACCTTTTAACTAATAAGAAAAGACAAAGAACATGCTAGTGTATATTCATCTTTATTGCTTTTCAAAACTTATAGAAATCAAAGCATAAGGTCCAGTCAATCAGTATCGGACGATTTAAAGGCATTTGACAAAAATATCCATGTTCTCATTTGGCCAACCTTTTGTCTTTGTAAATCAATAAACACTGTTTCTACAACCAAGCTATTACTAATTAATATATATTATATATGTAGTTTCAAGTTTTAATAAGAATCGAACAAGCGCAAATGTATATTGCCATGGTTATTTTGTCAAATACATATTTCGTATGATCAATAACGTAATTGTGTATACCGTACTATATTTCATATTATACTCTCTTAAAAGTCAAGCCATATAACCATTAGTATGTCGTCTATATAGTAGAATATAAGAATATCTCATTTCACGTAACAGTAGCACACCATGCCGGATACGAAATACTCAAGCCAGAACGAAGCTCGTTTAATACAACTCCTTTATCTATTAAAGTTGAAAGTATATCTTCCACATACATTTTTTTTATACATTTTTCAGTTTTCTAACACCGCAGACATCTCACAACACTTTCCTTTACTAGTTGGTACGACTGGATATATCATAACCACATTCACGACTACGGTACAATACACGTAAAACTAATATAATAAACGAATGCCGTTATAGTACGAGAGCGATAAGTTCCGATTGGCTGTTGGATGATCAAGTGACGGTCAAAAGAACAAATTAATAAATCGTGATTAGCGAATATTTCAAATTCGAATGTTTTGATAAGCAAGCTAGATTACTTTTTCATGGATCGGAAATTGATCCGTAAAATTTCATGGAAATCGCAGGATACGCTTTCGAGAGACTGCTAACAAATATAAAAGGTAAGCTAATAAGAATAGTTGGTATATACTCGAATGAAGATACCATCACAAATTCCTATTAAGATGTTTGTGAAAGACTGCCGTAAATACGAACACAAAACATATTTTAATGCGACGTACCTATTGTTGAAACAAATTTAACTTTAGAGAAAATGCGTAATATTGAAATATTTAGTTTTCACTCGATTTTTTGCGTTCGAAATTTTTAAAGATTATTTTATAGTTTGGTGTTGTGAAAAGTACTTCAATTATAGAAACGTCCATACCATTATTATTATATAAACATGTTTATTTGAATGGGATTATTATGATAGTCGCTAATAAATTTGGTAGAGTGAAACGTCATTTTGTCCCAAGACAGCGACATGACTAAAGTAATTAAGAAAAAAAAAAACAAAAAAAACTAATACACAATATAACGATACTAGTTATACAACCTTTATATACCTGACACCGAGCTATATC